GTCGATGAGCTGCAAGGCATTGAGATGAGTTGCTGAAAACAAAATGATCTTTGCTTTTTCACTGGTTTTAACCTCAGCTGTGTGGAAACAATGAGCACTTCATGGTTTGGTTATGGATGGGGGACAATACTGGTAAGCAGGGAAGATTGCCACGAGTAGAGTAAGAAAGTGGAAAGGGGCTGCTGCAAAATTCCCTCCTGAGTAAGTTAAGAGGTGTTAAGAGGTGTTCAGGGGGGTGGAAAGAAGATGAAGTAGAACTGTGCAGTAAAGGATGGCCGTACAGTAGGTAAGAAGTTACCAGCCATAATTTCACCGTGCTTCGCTCAGGGTCATGTGGCTGGTTTTGTGGCTGACTGACTGTTTTTCCATAATGATTGGGGAAAAGGGCAGCAAGGAATGCTTTTTTACACAGCCAAGAAAAGCTTTGTGAATAGGGAAATCACGTGTTATGTTCCTGGTGGTGTTTATTAATGGTAAGCTAATGAAACGGAGCACTGCAGAGAATACTGGTGTACAGCTTTAAAGGGCAGGCGCAAAAAAAATGAGCCAAGAGCACGGACTGATAGAGGCTGCAGGTTTATTAAAAAGCCTTTTCTAGCAAGGAGCTATCCTAACTTTCCTTCCAGTTACATTTCAGCCTGGATTTGAGAGGATGGTGAAGAGCATAAGGATGTGATGGAACACAGGGAGGCAAGGCTGAGACTGTCACTTTCCTTTGTACCAGCTGCAGGAGCAATACAGATGCTTCTGCATCCTGAGGTGAGGGAGGCCACATGGAGCTATACCCTCTCATGTTGTATTTCCATGGTCTGGGCTGGCTTCCAAGGAAGCCCTCTGGGTTACAGGGACCTCAGGCTGAACCCTTTCTAACCCACCAAATGCTCTGAAAGCTGCCAGACTCTCAACAACAGAGTTTAGACCCCTAAAACCAAAACGAAATTTGCAAAAACAACACAGATACTTTTGGGAGCTAGACCAGAAAACCAGTGATGCCCAAACTAGCAATCAGCTGATCCCACACCATCATAAGAAGCCCAGTCCACTAGATGAGGGTGGGAAGGCAGGAATAGAGAGACAGGAATTAAAAAAAACAGCCAACCATTTGTCTTTTATCCAGTTGACTTTGTGAGCTGACAGAATGGCTGGAGGTATATCTCTGAATGTCCCAACCATAGTGAGCTTCTCAATTAGAGAATTGGTGGTTCCATTAAATAAAACTGACATCAACACTCATCGTCTAGGGAACTGAACAGTTAATTGTCAGTTAATAGTGTTCTGAGGAGATTCTAAGAAATAGTGTGCTGAGAACTGAGCCCTCCCTTTTGGCTTCATTACTACTCTTCATCTCATACTTTCTGATTCTGATGTAGTCATTGGCGTTGGGAAAGGTTCGCTTATGCTGTCCATTTTCAGGAAATAATGATAATTTAATGTTCAAAGTTTTGATTCAGATAATAGAGCTTTGGCAGTTGAAATAAAACCTGAGATCGTGGAGAAACATCCATACTGCTTGTAGGTCACTGTAAGGGAGCGTGAGTTGTTGGGGCTGATCTTTTTGTTCACCACCACCAGCACAAAATATAGCACTCGTTTACAATTTGTATCTGAAGTACGGGATGTACAAGCCTGTTTTGATAAGGATCCTGCTGTCTTTTTTAATGTTGACTGACATCAGTCACAGCCTGAATTTACTAAAGAAAAGGGCATTCTTAGTCTTAAGAGTTTTGTCAGGGAAAGGAGGTCATTGAAGGATATAACCAGTTTTCATCCTGTTTGGAGAAATTTATGAGGGATTTGTAAAGGTTTCGAGTTTAGTTTCACTGCTGAAGACTGAAATAATACTATCAACGGTAGTACTGTAGTACATAGAGACTGCATGGCCTCTCCAGCACCTCTGGACATGAACAGGATACCTACCAACACGTAGATGCAGTGTAAGAAATGTACAGTGTAAATCAGATGCAGTAGAGCTATTAAAAGAGAAAGTGATTTGTAAGATTGAGTGTAGTTACATTGTACTTATTTCTCCTTTTTATTTTTTTATTCCCAAAAGACTAGGTGTAATTACTATAGTAAAACAAAAGCCTGTTCTTAGCACAGTGAGGAAAAATCTATAGGTCATCACCTGTGTTTTGTCTTGAAGACAATTGACTCTATCCATGGAACAAGTAATTTGCATGGCGTCAGCTACATGAGGATTTGGTGTTCTTCCTTACCCTTCCTGTAAGGGACCTGGTGCTGCTTGCTGCAAAGGCAGGTGTGGGACTTTGGGGCAGACTGTGCTCCGTTTGGTGATGGACTGCTTTCAAGGTCCATGTGGGCCCCTTGTGTCAAGTCTCAGAAGTATCCTGGAAGTCAGAAGAGTCCTGGGAGCAGTCTGATGTGCTTGTGCTGGGTACATCAAGTCTCTGGTGCACTTGTGGGTGCTTTGAAGAGCAACGGAGGGCAGCAACAGCAGGGTACTCCATCCTTCAGTGCACAGAGTAACAAGCTGTGTTGCTGTGGTAGGCGGCATTGGGTCAACCTGAAATCTGCCTCTGGCATCCAGGGGAAGCCTGGAAGTATGTCAACATGTGGGATTTCCTCCATGGCACATTATCTGCCCTCTGGATGGAGCTGGCAGTTCGTACTACTAGGTAACCCTTGCCCAGCCGTTTGCACAAGGGCATCCCTCATCTCCCTTGTACGAGAGTTGATCCTGTTTATCCCCCTTCTCTCAGACATTTAAGGTAGAAGATGTTGCCTTTGGCCTTAACGAAGATTTGGGTGTAGCCTGTGCAGGGTGTCCCCCTCTGCCTTGTCTGCACTGTGCCGCCAGTCTGTTCAGTTCAGCAGAACCAGTCTGTTTGCCAATTGCATGTACAAGACTTATCAAAATTTGACAAATTACCTACTTGTGCCATGTATGTTTATGGTTTTGTCTTTGTCGTGGCACATACAGTATCCCTAATGCAGAATCTCATTACTGACAATAGCCTGGGTAAGGTGTTTTCAGAGGAAGTAACCAGCAATCATCACTGGGCAATTACAGGTGGTTTTGCCTTCTTCAGGAAGAGGTTTTCGTAACCTTGTCACTTGTAGCTGGTTATGCACTTTAAAAACCTGTTCTTCACTCTGTGTTCTTCTTTAGCAGGAGAAATTCCCATTGTCTTTATAAAGGGTTTTTTTGCTTTTGTTATTTGTATTACAGCAGAACAGCAGGGTCCAGGGACCGGATGAATTGGGGTCCCTTTGTTGTAAGTTGATTTGTGTATGAATAGAGGAAGAGACTCGCTGTACCAGAGATGTTCTTGCTTTCAAATGGAGGAAAATGCCAGCTCTGGGAGCCAGTCTAAATCAGCTGAATAGATGGGATCTAGTAGAATATCTCATCTTTCAGTATGCCAGGGATACTACGCACTTGGGCTGTTATTATTAGTATTTTTAATATTAGTGTTTCTCTTTTCCTTTTGCAATAGAATTCCATTCCGTGATGAAATCTGGCTCTGACTCAAATCCAGGAGGGTTCTCCATGAAAATATTTAACATAGTTGATTATAAAAATCCCAAAGTGAATTCATAACTTGCTTGACTGTTAACTTTTTTAGGATAGACAAACTAAAATATTTGTGGTTTAAATATTTCTGACTTAATAAGCAATTGAGAGAATGCATTTAGAGCTGCTTAGGTACCATAAAAAGATTGCTTGTTAGATCTGTATGTGGAATAATTGCTTTGGGTCAAGTGAGATTTGAAGTAGGTTGGCAAATGTTTTTTATTGAGGTTGGTTTTCCATACTACAACACGTAACAGTGTGGTAGAGGAGCTCTGCTACAGTGCAGTGCCATGGAGGTACTTAGCTGAGGAGCTGAGAGCTGGGCTATGTCTTTCTACCAGGTTATCGATGGTCATTCTGTTCCTTGCTCTGCCTATTGAAAATTAATTGAAAAACATTTTTAAAGAGTGGTTATGAATGATGTACTGTCAGAAAGGGAAGATAAATCAAATGAGCTTCTCGAGGGATCTATCTTTATTTATAAATTGTTAACCTCTTTGATGATGGAAATAAGGAATAAAACTATAAAAAGAGCATATGGCACCACCAGTCTAGAATAAATTTAGGTGAACTAGCTTTGAAAGAGTTGGTGTAAAGCATAGAATTATTTTGTGAAGTCAGAAAAATTGTTCTTAATTAAAATGGGAAAAATAAAAGAATGTTGTAACAAAAGAAAGTTGTAACAAAAATCTAATGTGCTAATTCAGAATAATGAATTGCTGTAGCCACTGCTGCCTGTAACAGGGCAACCATACAAACGTGGGGCTCTGTACTGACCTGTAAGTTCATTATCAGTAAGTACACAGAATGCAAAAAGTCAAACACTGAACTGAAGGACTGTGTTTAGTGTAAGGCACTGCCTTCTGGGAAGTGGTGTGGAAAAAGTGCAGAGGTCACTGTAAAGAGCAAATGAGAGTCCTAAGGCTTGTTTTTTTAAAGCTGACTTATGACAGAAAGAAGCAAGGTCTGCCTAGTCTAGAAGAAGGTAGACAAGTAGGGAGAAATTACAGTCCTTGAGCACTCAGAAAATTGTTTGAAAAATGGGTATGACCAGTTTTTCTTCATGTCTGTTGGAGATAACACCAGAGAGTAATGCTGTAGCTTGAAGATAGATGTTGGGAAGAAATGTCCTGTCAATATAAACACTGGTTATCTGTGGAGATACAAAAGTTTTTGTCACTGATGACTTTGTGTAATGCAAAGAAACAGGATGATTTTGTAGTTGTGAATCTTGCCACCTCTGAGAAATGGGAGTAGAACTTTTTTAATATTCTGTTCAGACTGAACATGTCTGTGATTTTTAGCATGATTTAAAAAATTGTCCTTTAGAACTCTGAGCTTCAAAACAAAAGGAGACAAATCCTGTGGCTTTCATGACTGAGACGTGTGATGCGCCTTAGCAATTGGGTGTGTAAGTTGTCTTTAGCCACATGCGTAATTATGTCCCTTTGTCCTTCCTCAACAGTCTCCAAACGTCCACAACTATCCAGATATGGAAGCTGTACCCTTGTTACTAAACAACATGAAGGCAGACCCCACGGAGGATTCATTATCTACAGACCATTTCCAAACACAGACTGAACCAGTGGACTTGTCAATAAACAAAGCCAGGTCGTCCCCTACAGCAGCTTCATCTTCACCAGTTTCCATGACAGCATCAGCCTCCTCCCCTTCTTCCACTTCTACTTCGTCTTCTTCTTCTTCTAGTCGACCAGCTTCATCACCCACAGTAATAACATCGGTATCCTCAGCAGCGTCTGTACCGTCAGTATTAACTCCAGGTCCTCTTGTGGCCTCAGCATCTGGTGTTGGAGGCCAGCAGTTTTTGCACATTATCCATCCAGTACCACCTTCCAGCCCCATGAACTTGCAGTCCAACAAAATGAGTCATGTGCACCGTATCCCCGTGGTGGTACAGTCGGTACCTGTTGTCTATACAGCTGTGAGATCACCTGGGAATATGAACAACACTATAGTAGTACCACTGTTAGAGGATGGGAGAAGCCACGTCAAAGGTAAGGTGGAACCAGTTTTGTGCACCTGTGGCATCCTTAAAACTGCTCTTGTATGAGGAAATTATAGCAATTTTATACAGCTGTTGGTTTCCAAACTTACTGTGGTGTTTGCTGAGAAGTCATATAACTTACGCTATCAAGAGGAACCTTTCAAAGTCTTATCCCAGATGGTCTTTAAAATAAGTAAATATTTTTTTGAAGATGGAGGTCAGCAGTGGTGTTAGATGCTCAGACAACTCATGGCAAGTTTTGTCCTGGGAGGAATAAGTCCTCCCCAGAAGCTGAAGAAATAGGACAACCGAATAGTGACAATATGTAAAACATCATAGATGAACATGGAAAACTCACCAGGTTATACTGAATTGGCGAGGGAAGGAGATTCTTTGCCCACAAAATTTGCATGTTTCCGTGCACAGAGAAGGCAATCACTGGGCTGTAGGAACTTGTGAAAGAGAGGCATTTGGACCAAAGAGCAGTAGCAGATGCAGAGAGATAGATTTTATTAAGCTCAAGGAGTGGCAGTGCAGTATTTTGAATTAGTTTTCTTCTTCCAGATTAAACAGCAAAGGGAAGGAAGCCACACGGAGTGTGTATGTTGGGAATGACTTTTGCAGACACAGGACCTGAGAGGCACATGGAGGTGTGAAGGGAGGAAGAAAGCACATGCCAAAAGAACAGATACACTTGGAAAGGTGTCCAAAATACACAGAAAAGTGAGCTGGAGAGCAACAAAAATGAGCACATTACAGTTACTGAGGGAGCAATAATCTGTTAGAGATGGTGACATGATGGGTGGAGGAAGTAAAGAGAAAGCATACATGCCCAGATACTTTGAAAAAGCATAGCTTTATAAAGAAGGCATTAGTGACCGAGATGGGAACATGAGGAGAGAAACAAGAGACTCATTTCAGGGTTCATTGCATGTGAATGAATAAAATATGGCTAATTCTTCCCTGAAACAAGGTGTTGCATGAAGCAGAAAGGGAGGGTACTGATACATAGCCTTACTTCAGGGCTTATGGGACTACAGGGCATTTAGTAATACATCTTATAACATCTCTTGTGTACCTAACCGCATAACGAATGGGTCTCTACAACTAAAAGACGTTTTTTCTTCAACTCTCATGTCTGTTTTTGGTATACTGGTGACTGTGTATTATTGTACAGGACTACAGTGATGGGTCTTTCTGATGTTTAGTAGCATCCTTTTGTTCATAGCTTGTTGGTTCTCCTCCCGCTACCTCAGTATATGAGTGTGGACTGTGCCCTCTCAACAGGGTTGGACATAGGAAATGAGCTCATGGCCGATTGGGGTTTTGGTTTAAGCCTCAAAATCGTGGTTAAGAGGTTTTATTGTACTTCATACAGTGGCGTAATTTTAGGACATTGTGCCATTGTGTCAATAAATGATGAATGAAAGCAGAACTTTTCACCATGTTGTTTGGGAAAAAAAGAAAAGGGAAAGTTTTAGTATGTATTTTGATTTTGGAGCTTTGAGCCGCACCTGACCTTAAACTCATCCAGAATTTTTCTGATTTGTTTGTTTTCATTTCAGAGGTGCTGGTTGGCTATGATAGTAGTCTCCTCTATAGGAAGCACCTCCTGATCTTGTAAAACTGGAACTTTGCTACCCCAGTTTTGTCAACAAAATTCCACAATTTAATGTGCCACAGAGATTTCAGCCCACAAGCTCCGGGCCTCCTAACCTGACAATATCGCCTTTGTGCTGTTGTTGGCAGAGATCACTAACCAGCCCTGCCGCACCTGGTAATGTACAGCTAAAGAAAAAGAAGGGATTAAGCGTTCTTTCATTTTGTTTTTCTCATCAGTTTTACCCATTTTGCTATCACTAATTATTTTGATATAAATGTTCAGGTTAATTTGAATAAATACAGTAGAAGAATAACAGGCAACAATCCTCTAGGTAGTCATCTTTTGTCAGCTTTTGCTGGAGTGTTCTTCTTTCTTTATATGTAAAACAATATAAATAATAAATTGCAATGACATTACACGAATTAACGGATTAAATAAATTTCAGATGTGTAGAGATGCTAACAGGATGCTGCTGTCAAGTTGAATTGGTTGCTAAGCCTCTACCAGCTGAAGGAGAAGTGCAGTTTTGGAATCATCTAGAGTAGCAACTTTCAAGTTCTACATGAGTGGTGATCATTTTCAGAAACAAAAAAATACGCACGCTGAAACAAAATTGATCCACAGATAGTATCAGCAGCATTTGTTGCATAATCCCTGTGTTGCTGCTGTTTTGGTGCTAAACCAGAGAACATGTTGATGATCCAGGGGTATGGTTGGGAAGTACTTAAAGTTATATTCTACATTAGCCTGTATCTTTCAGTCAGATGAGATTTAGGCATTTCCCTGAACAAAGATACTTCCAATGATAAGGTTAATGAAAATTATATCAGACTTAAGGTCAGACCTCTTCTGTTTTTCTAGGTACAGATACTTAGGGGAAAACTGCAAAGAAACAGGATATAGAGAAAGGTATATTCCTTGTTATTCACAGTTTTATTTTCCTCATGCTGAATTTTCCTCCTCCTTCCAGGTTTGATGAGAAACCATTTCATTTTTACTTTCATTGCAAAACCTTTTCAGGCCATCACCATCCCTCTAATCGTTCCTCCAGGTGTTTTGCTCAGGTGTCTCTGTTTCCCTGATGCTTCCCAGTCCACCTTTCTCAGACAAAACTGTCCTTCCAGCAGCCGCTTTTCTAGGCAGTTCAAGCAAATGTTCTGTTTGAATTCTCTCCTTTCCAGCACAAGTAATGACAGAACCATAGAATCAATACCTCTGCTTCTGTTTCCCCCTTTTTCTATCTTTCCATTTTTCCTAGTCTTTCCAATTTCACTGACAGTTATGTGAGTGTCAGTTTCAGCAGCATTGCTTCATCTCTCCCTCCTTATCTGTTAATATTTCTAACCCATACTGTCATCTCCTCCTCTGCTGCTGCACATCCTTCACCTTGGCAGTATTCATCCTGGCCTCAGTCGCCCCTTCCTTCAGGAGGGACTCAGATCTCCTTTTCTGCCTCCCAACATGCTGCTCATTTCTGCTCTCTCAGTCCTGCCTCCTCTCTCCTATTTTTCACTTGCAAGGGTTCCTGTTAAATCAGACCCTTTCTGCAGCATTGCAGACCAATGGGGTTTGCAGAAAATTAGCCCTTGTATATACGAGCTGCCAGCAGCATCCCATAAGGTCCTGTGCCACATGCTACACCCCAAGGTGGGCAATAGGAGCTACAAAAGCACCCTTCTGACAGATGGATGCTTTTTTTCAGGATAAAAACCTGTCAGTTCTCGTAGTGTAGATCAAAATGGAGATTGAAGCATTTTTAGGAATTTATGAACAACACACAATTAGAAGGCAACCAGTGGACAGTATGTTCAATATCGGTAATACAACACTAGCCATTTATAAAAGCTTACTAAGTTTTTACAAACTGTTCGGTAATCCCACAACACTCCCATATGTGTGTACATACACACAGTTACATGCAGACTCCCCCACAGACTGTGGACCCTCCCCTCCCTGACATCCTCCAGATGCCCCCACAGGGGAGGACACACTTCAGGGAGACCCCCCAAAGTGGGGGTCTCAGTGTGCTGTCCCCCACACTGCCAGCCCTGCTGTGCAGTTTGCCCCCTAAATCCTCACCTTCACGTTATTTCATATGCAGAAAGCATAATAATGTGTTAGGGCTGCTGGGGCACGGAGCGGGCAGGAGCCAGGCCAAGTCCCTGTGGGCATCGCTGGTCGGGGCTGCAGCCTCTGCCACCCCCTACAACGTGCCAAAGAGATGAAGGCCACTTCTTTCAGTGGTCACCACTGATGTCTTGTCATCCAGACCCTTAAAAAGCACTTAGAGATTTTTTTCTGCATGGAGTAGGTGGCTAGAATTTATTACATATTAAAGTGTTTCAGATCATTAAAATCCAATGATAGACTCTTTCTTCACCTTTTTTTCTCCCCGTTCAGCAATGGTGAGGATTGCTAAAAGGTGTAATTAGAGGCACAGCAGGTAGCAGCACCTATAGATAAGGTTGCCTCATGGTTTCACTTAAATCCCTGTCTTCAGTTGCTCAGAGTCTGCCTGTGTGTTAACCATTTGGCTAACATTTTCCATGCGGCAAATCTGCCTCAGGCTATGTCTTTTTTATTTTTTTCTTTCTTTTTGAGGAAAGTTTCAAGAAAAAACTATTCCACTTTTCCTGAGACTGATCATCAAGAAAAAAATGTAGCATTTTTCATGTTGAAAATTTTATTGTGGCTTTTCTTGTTGAAAAACTCTAGAACCTCCGTGGTTTTGTGCCATGAACCTCAAGTTTGGTTTGGACCACTGTCCTTTCTTTTTCTCTTTTTAAGCACTTGTGGAAGCTAAGTCTGCAGATCTGAAAAAGACATGAGTTTCTTCAAAGGATAAAGCAAGTAAAAATGTGGCTAAGAAAAGGCAGGGAGGACGTGGGGAGGGGCTGGGCAGTGGAGAGAGGGACAGGATGGAAGGGAGTGGGTGTGAAAAGAATAGACAATGAGACGGCTACAGGTGTGTGCACATGTTCAGGAATAAAAGTGGTAGAAGGCTGAAGACAGAAGAAGGGTGAAGAAGCAAAAGGAGGATGGAAAGGAGATCTGGGCAGGGTGAAGGAAAACAAAAAGAGGCTTGGACAGAGAGGAGTGAGAGGGCCTGCAGTGGCAGCAACATATTCTCCTACAAACTGTGTTCCCATTAGCCTGAATCTTTCCACTGCTTCGATTTCAGAAGGGTCTTCCGATAGCTAAAGGGAGCCTACAAGAAATCTGGAAAGGGACTTTTAACAATGGCCTGTAGTGATAGAATGAGGGGAAATGGCTTTAAGCTGACAGAGGGAAGATTTAGATTAGGTCTAAAAAAAAAATCTTTACAATAAGTGTAGTGAGGCACTGGCACAGGTTGCCCAGAGAAGCTGTGGCTCCCCCATCCCTGACATTGTTTAAGGCCAGATTGG